TTTTTAAAATATAAAATAATTCATTATACTTAATTTCTACCATACATTTTATCCTATCACACCGCCCAAATATAAAAAAGTATATATACACTTTTCTTTCCATCATATCATCTGATTATTAAATTATCCTACTTAATACATCCCACCTGAAATTATGTCCCGAAATAAAATGTTACTCCTTATTTGGGACGGAGATAGTACAACTTAACCATTCTTGAAAAACACAGTGGTATTTTTGTATTATACAATCAATAGTAATGAATTATTTTTTTAAAAAAAAATATAGTATATTTTAAATTATTTTGTATTCAAAAATCTAATTATAAATTACAATGAATAGTCATAGAGATGACAATGAGGCAAGTTCGGAAAGAATTTTTTAGGCTCCAAAACCCGCCCCACCAGAAAACTATAGGCCTCAGAACCTGTCATGTCACGGCTCAGTCTCGCCCCAAAACCTGCCCCGTCTTGAACCCGTGGTGTTCGGGACCAGCCCGGAAACCCACATTATTTTGTAATATACACCCCACCTGAAATTATGTGCCGAAATCAAATGTTACTCCTTATTTGGGACGGAGAGAGTACAACTTAACCATCCTTGAAAAACATAGTTGTATTTTTGTATTATACAATCAATAGTAATGAATTATTTGTTTTTTTTTTAAAAAATAGTATATTTTAAATTATTTTGTATTAAAAAATCTAATTATAAATTACAATGAATAGTCATAGGGATGACAACGAGACAAGTTCGAAAAGAATTTTTTAGGCTCCAGAACCCGCCCCACCAGAAAATTATAGGCCTCGGAATGCGTCAAGTCACGGCTCAGTCCCGCCCCAAAACTTGCCCCGCTTGAACCCGTGGTGTTCGGGACCAGCCCGAAAGCCCACCTTATTTTGTAATATATATTATATATATATGTATTTTTTTGTTTATAAGTTCACTGAAAAAAAAAAAAAAAATACTAGTATTTTCATAACGAAAAATTTTCGTACCTAAATCTATTTTTTTCATTATTAGTGTTATTAGAGACAAGATTAAAGATGAATTGTGTTAGTTACATAAACTTTAGAGACGAAATTAAAGATGAATTGTGTTAACTACGTGAACTTTAGAGACAAAATTAAATTTATGTTGTTGCTTCAGCGTGAATATTTGTAATTAAATTATTTATTGTAATTCTCGTATCTACAATAAATCGGATACAAAAATGTGGAACGAATGGACTAAATATTTGATTTGCTATTTTTTAAAAATAGGCCCAAACAATAGGATTAAGGGTGTGTTTACTTGTCAGTTAAAATTTAAGTTAGTTGAGTTTTTTGGCTGAGTTTCAATATTTTTGAATTGAAATATTTGAGTTGATGTTCAGTTGTAAATTAGATTTTTGTAATAATAATGTACTGATTGATAGTTAGTTAATAAAATAAAATGTACTGATTGATATGATTTTTTAATTTAAAAAATATTAAATATTTTATATATAGTTATAAAATATACTATTTTTAGACATAAATTTTTATTTTTATTTACAGGGATATAATAGTAATATTATTTTAAATATTGTTACTATAGAAGATGAGCTCTTTTTGATTAATTTTCAGATCAAATTTGAGTTTCATTTTATAAATATGATATACTCCATTCTTCCATTATTAATCTACATTTTTTAGTAAATGTATTTCCATTTAAATATAAAAATATCATTACCTTTAGTATAATATTATACAAATATTATCAAATAAAAGTATATATTTTAAGGGTATAATAATTTTTATACATCTCAATTGTATTACATATCAATATAATATTAATATACTAAAATCTATGTGCAAAGAGCAAACAGATATATTAGCTGTGGACAACTATTTATGATTTTTTTTTTAACAAAATGTGATAAAATTTAGGCTGCAGTTTATAGATGAATAGAATATTTTTTATTTTAAAAATAATTGTTTAATACTTAATTTTAAAAATATGATTATCAATACAAAAATATTTATATAAATTATTTTTTTATTTTATAAATTAATTTACAACAAATGGTGACACATTGCACACCAGATGAAATGACATGTACAGAGGAATAAATGGTTATTGACAAATGCTCAAATGTTGAGGAATGAATCGGGTGTGTTTGTCAGGGGAATTGGATTGTATTTACACTATTCATTCAATTTTTTTTTCCCAAAAACATCAAATCAAACACCTATTTTTTATTTTTTATATTATACTTAAAAATCAATTTTACATTCAAAATATCACATCAACACCTATTTATATCACATCATACAACTATTCAAATAAAATTTTTTTACTATTCAAATCCCAACTCAAAATCCAAACCTCCGAACAAACACACAAAATTATTTTGAGCAGGAGATATATGAACGTACAGGGTGCAATAGTGTAAAATTGGCATGTTGGTGCTAACCAAACATACCCTGAGTAATCGGGACTATCCATACACATTGTTTTCTGTTATCATTAGTATTTGGCTTCTGGTTGCTAGAATTTTTCACACCACTTATTTTTCTTTTATTAAATAAATAAATAAAATTATTAATTAAATATGCCGGTAAATTATACAAAATTCACCTGTAGTTTTACGAAATTGCGTCAAATTCTTCTAATTCTAAAATTGCGTCAAACTCTACCGTGGTTTCATAAACTCTGCGTCCAACCTCCTCGGCGGTCCTTATTTCACCGTATTTGACCTAAATGCGCTCAATCTACGAATAAGTTTTAGAATCTCAATTTCTAAATCCTTACAATTACAAATATATTTATTTTTCTTATATTTAACCTAAAACAGTGAAAATAAACTCTTAAAACCTGAAAAATAATTTCATTGTTGAGTATATTTACCATTTTTAGGTTAAATAGAAAAAAATATATATATATTTGTAATTTTAAGAGTTTAAAAATTGAGATTCTAAAATTTATTCGCTTTTTGGGTGCATTTATGTCAAATATCGTTAAATAAGGACCGCAAACCACAAGGGAGTTTGACGCAGTTTTAGAAGTACGTGGATTTGGCGCAATTTCGTATAATTTCAGGTGGATTTTGTGCAATTTAGCCTAAATATTCAAATATTTAATTTTTGAAACATTTTTTTATTCTATTAATTGTCTCATTTTTATTAATGATTTTGCGAATATATATCGTTTTCTCATAATAGTTTACTCGAACATTTTTTTATATAAATTCTCTATTTACCATACGTAATAATCAGTTCCCATTCTTTGTTAATTTTCTTTGGTTTCATTTTCTGTAGCAAATATATTTTAAAAGTAAATACTTTTTTCGTCTCATTTTAATTGACACATTTGGTTTGTGGCACAATATTTAAGATAGTAAGATTTAGTGAATCAATAATAGTGATTTATGATATTAGTTTACTTATTTTTCTATATGAGTATTGATGTTGATATTTTTAAAATAAGAATTAATACATATGATTCAAAATTTTAAAAATATATATTTTAAATCTTTTAAATTTTATAGCTTAGTCAAATATATACAATATGAATATCATATTGTCGCAAATAAAATTTTATATAATACAATTAAATAAAAAATATTTTTATTTATTTCTAGTTAACATAGACTAAGTTTTTTAAAAGTTTGTTTATTAAAGAGAAAAAAGAAAAAACATTTTGAGTGAGTCTTAAGTATAAGATTAAAAATTTAATTAGTTTGATTGAGGAGAGATATAAATAAAGATTTTGTGTGGATCCTTCATTTAAAGTGTTATAAATTTAATTAAATTGAATAATATTTATTAAGTATATTTAATATTGATAAATTTAATGTCAATTAAAATGAGGTAGACAAAAATAAAATTGTTTGAATTAAAATGAGATGGATGGAGTATTTATCTTTGACTTTAACTGAGTAGCAATTCTTTTAGAATTTAGTTTTATTTTTTATTTTTATTATGCCTGTATTGCAATTTACTGGTAATATACATTCCCTCTGTTGACTCGTATTTGTTTTATAGATTGATTTATTGTGTGAGGTACGAGAAATTGTGTAAAAGTTATAATATATACTATATTATTTTTTTAAATGAATATTTGATTTTTTCACTGTTTGTTAAAAATATTTTGTATTGTTTATTATTATTTCTTGGGAATTGCAATTTAAAAATAGTTTTTGTTGAACACATTTATTATTTTTTCTCATAAGATATCATATGCATATAAGTATTCAAAAAGAAAATACTTCATCCGTCCCCTTAATAAGTTTACATTTGTATTTTGTATCATTGTACTTCACGTTCAAAATATTCTTCTATTTCTATAATTATTTATCAAAATGTCATTATATTGGTATTATAAAACACTAATTAATATATTTTTGTTATTTTTCTTTAATTTAAATTATATTTTTATATATTAATATTAAGGGTGTGTTTGTTTGGGGGATTTAATTAGATTTTTACTATTCATCCAATTTTTCCCCCCCAAAAATATCAAATCAAACACCTATTTTTCATTTTTTATATTATACTAAAAATTAATTTTACATTCAAAATATCACATCAACACCTATTTATATCACATCATACAACTATTCAAATTCAAAATTTTTACTATTCAAATCCCAACTCAAAATCCAAACCCCCAAACAAACACACCCTAAATGTCACATATAAAAAAACAAATGTCAAATTTGTAAATGGACAAAAGTAGTAAATTTAGCATATAAAGAAAAACATGATTCGATGATGCAGGGTAGACGGCTTTGGTGGATTCCCTTAATATAAAAACGTTTGATATTTTAATATTATATTTTTATTAAATTTTAAAACCAGAGAATACGTCCGAAAATTGAGCTGTTGAACAACATTCTGACTAAGATACATTTTGGGCTCATTAAAGGCCGCCCATTACCATAAGTTAACAAACTGCAAAAGCCCACACTAACTAGTTACAAATTTTCTAATCACCCCAAGAATTAAAATAATTTCATATTGACCCTCTGGGCAAAGATTCAAAAACGGAGATGACAATAATGGCGGGTAGTCGAATCAGAGTCTCCTCTTTCCATTCCCACTGATTATCTCTCTCTGGTCTCTCGCCCACACTTACGCAGCAGTGCTTTTTTGTACCAATGGAGGGCGCAGGGGAGAGTTCTACGCTGACGCGGATGGCTCAAATGCGGTTAGCATGTGAACGTGAAATGCCAATTCAGAAGCACGGACTCGACTCGCTGGATGATTCCTATCAAAATAATTTCGATTCCGCCAAATCGCAAGCTCGGAGAACCGTTCTGCTTCAAGGCAATGCCGTTTTTTAACTTAGTTTTTGAAGTAGTGGTTTGAATCGGGAATTTAGGGTTCTGTAGGAATTTTGAAATTAGTTACTTTATATATGTCGCAGGCAAACTTGAACAGGTTAAAGGCGAGTTGAAGGAAGCGGAGGATGCTCTGGTGAAGTCTCTTGCTGGTATTTCTCAGTTTTCGGTTCAATCAAAATTTACCTTTTAGTGAAAATTATTTGAATTTTTGTTATTATTTTCAAAATTTTATTGTTTTGTGAAGTGAGGTTGAAATTGTATGTGTTCTTGTCAAGCTGTATATTTTGTGTGGCTGTTCCTTGCTATCGCAAATGAGTAATGGTGAATGTGTCAGAGCAATTGAGCAATGGTGGAAGTAGCTCCTTGTTTCTTATATGGTTTGATTCAACAATTTAATCTTTGGATGATTTAGCTGTAAGTTAAGAATGTTAACTGTGTTATTTTACTGTAGACCGCTTAATTTTTGTTTGTTTTTCTGCTGATTCTCTCGAAAAAGTGTGATTGTTTGAGGATTTGGATTTGTGGCTTTCGATTCTTTAGTAGTAAAATTTTTAAATTTGAATAGTTGTTTGATGTAATATTTTGAATGTAGAATTGATTTTTAGTATAATACTATAATATAGAAAACTAACATTCGGTGTTCGATTTGATGATTTTTTAAGGAAAAAAGATAATTGTGTTGAGATATCTAGTAAGTTTTGTATTGCCATTTTATTTTAATGATTAATAACACAATCTCATTATTTTCTCCCAAAATTTCTAACAAATTGAATAGTAAATTTTTGAAAAAACCAACAAAAGAGCACAGATGTTAATCAGAAATCTTACTGTACATTCTTACATCTAGTTGTACGAAGGTGGGTTTTACTAGAGTCTAAATATGTAAAGAAGGCATTTTTTGTTGGCCTTTTGTCCTAGTGCACAAGAACATGGAACATTGATTCTTACTGAAATCATGGGTTTGGAAATTCGTATTGAGAAATAGGTATGAAAGAGAGAAACCAAAGTGGATATATTTAATTGAGCATTTACGGTAATGTAACATCAACTAGGTTGAGGTCCATGTAACACTAGAAGACATTCTTGAATAGTAATCATGTCTTGCCCCCCAAACCTCTGGTTAAGCATGATTCACATGCTTGACAACGAATTTTCTCTTTGCAAATGCTGTTTAACTTTATCAGTCATGTGTTCTTACTGCTGTATACATTATTATAGGTGTTAATTATTGAAAGTTATCGTTTTCTGTTTTTAAATTTGTCTGAGAGTATGTAACTTTTGTGTTGCATTTATAGTGAAGAGTCGGAAAGAGGCAATGCAGATGGCACTAATGGAGTCTATATCCATTACAAAAGCTAAAGTCGATAAACTGAAAAAGAATGTGCAGGATCAGAAGGAAAGGAAAGATGGATATGCTGCTATACTATCTCAACATTCTGAAGGTTAATGAGTATCCATAAATCTATCACGTGGCCCTTTACTTCTAGAACTACAGAGTGGTTATCGAAAAGAAAAAATGGTCTTGTAAACTGAAATGGTCATAGAAGTTTCACATTATGGTGGAAACTGATATGACGGTGATAAGATGTTCAAGGGACTAAATCATCTTTTTGGATTCTGAATTATTTAGTCTTCTAAACATAGGTAGGAGGGAACGGGGCTAGAGTGTTTTTAGATCATTAGCGTTTTCTTGCATATTCATTATGTGAAAGTTCTTGACAGTGATGTACACCGTATTTTAGCTGTTTCCTTGGTTTCTTTTTTTTGGAACAGCTTTGACAACTTCTGAGAAACAATGTAGTCAGAACAAGCAGCATCAAGAACAAATCGAGGAAGCCATTTCATGGTATAACAAGGTTCTTGGCTTCCGTGTTGAATCTGGTCGTGGTACGTAATTCTTTGGATGCCTAGACTTGTCGAAATAAATATATTTTAGCCACGATAGCATTTCTTACACTTTCTCTCCACCTTGTTGTAGGTGTAAAATTCATATTCACCAACATTAATTGTGAGAAGCTAGATGAGGAGTACTCCTTTACCCTACGACATGAAAATGAGATCTACACATGTAAGTATGATTTATTGTCAACTATCCCTACCCTCGACATAACCTTAACATTTTCTCCTTTTGGAGTTTTCTCTTTAGTGATTAAATGCGATCCGCATCTGAATGACACAAAGGAGCTGATTAAGGATTTAAACAAAACCAATGGATTATTCAAATTTGTGAGAACAATGAGAGAGAAATTTCTTGAAGCTGCAGCACATGGTATGTGACCTTGTATCTTTTCATGAATCTTATATTTAGCATTTATATTTGTTGAAATCTATAATAGAATTACTTTATTGCCTTGCAATTATGTAGAAGAATAATATTTCTTGCTCTTTATTTTATCCAAGTTACATTCCTAACACTATTCGCCATCGCTATCCAGGCACTTCCCTGTGCGAACTGTCTATAAACCAAGACTTTTCAACAATTTCCTCGTCAGGCCTGGTTGCTTCATACTCAACTGAGCAGACATATGAATCTCCAATCGTAAACAAAGGGGTTCAAATCAGTAAATCTAGCAGCAATATAAAGAAAGATAGAAAGGGAAACAAAATTCTCTCTTCCCGATCTCCTTATTCTCTTCGGGAATCTGCACGTTCAAAGGTGAGTTAGCAAACATAGATATGACATGAAGTGTTATGTCTATTCATCAATATGGAGTGGGTGATGTGTTCTCTTCATATGTTTAAATTTTACCAAACATTGCCAGACAAAATCCTTACAATCCAATATACCCCGCAAGTTTGAATTTTACAGTGTGTTGCTAGTTAGAGTTTTCGGATCATCCAACATCTCTATATTCATGCTTCTATGTGGTTTAACTTATTTCAAGAAATAGAATTATAATAAAATGATAATAACAAGTGTGCTGTTATGTCTGTTTCTGAATGGATTCTCAAATCTTTGCAGGTCAGGAAATGATCTCCATTGTCGACGTATATCAGATGTTTTTATACGAGCATCGAGGTAGTATGCTCTTCGACGAGGTAGTGTGCCATATAGCCAACTTATTATGAACTTCTCTGGCCTCGAGTGCTATATAATCGATATAGTACGAATTAACTTGCCTTGTCTAGTGTGGTGGTATATAACCGATATAGATGTAGTATAAGTTTTCTTGTACTATTGACGGAATTTGCAAGCTCTACTCATCAATGTTAATTAGATGGATTTTTTATTGGTACAAACGGTATTCGTGTTTGGTAGAATATCTACAAATACCTTGTATAATGTTCGCCAGGCACATCCAGTTCGCATCCAGCAAGGTTCTCCAAATGGACATCTGCAGGTAAAATCGCTTTAAAAAGTTGTCGATATCATCCACTGTAAGACTTGACGAAACTCTTAATTTGCCAGTTTGAACTTGGAGGATCCCGTTGGACTATGCTTAGTAGACGACCAATGAGACGGCTGCAAACAGGTACCCTGTGTGTATGAACTGTTTTTGAGCAATGTCGACAATTCTCCACGAGGTACGTATAGTAAAAATGTATGGCAGTTTTCGAGGAGTTATTCTATGTCCCGATTTTGTGAAAATAAAAATAAAAATACTAGTTTATTTTAAATGATCTATTATATACTACCTTTCTACGATGAAACTTCTCATTTCCTTTTACAGTGTGAAATAATTCTCAATTAAATATCAAAATATGGTGGCAATTTCACTGGTCCGGCTCAAAAATTTTCAGGCCTATTTTGGAGACATACAGTTTTTTGTTTTTTTTTTTTAATTTTTTTATGCTGTGTTTATTTTTGTCACCCGGTCAAAATACTACCGCTAATTCGTCCCTTTTAACTTAGGCTTTACCTTAGGCAGGTATTATATAATTAATAAGTAATTAAAAAATATATTAGTAAAAATAATTATAAATTAAAAGTAAGATAACTAAATAATTTAATTTAAATAAAAAAGTTATAAATTATTAATTTTAAAATATGATTACAATATATAATTATATTTTCAAAAAAAATAAAGGACAAATTATATGAGACTGACGAAAATTGAAAAAAAATAGACAAATTAAGTGTGACTGAGAGAGTATAACTTTTTACTTGTCACGTTATTTTTATTTTAATATTAAAGGTAAAATAAAAATTATATTACTTTATTATATATCTATAAAATATTAATTTACTAAAAGTCAAATCAGAAATTTATAGGTGGACAAGGAGTATATAATAAATAATTTTATATATATATATATATATATTTTTTTACGAATATTAAGTTTGAAAAATAAAAATATTCTACAAAATTTTAAATAGGCTCTTGGGTCAAGTAAGACTTTAAACTTTAAGTAAATGAGATGTAGACTTTAAAAATATATTTTTTCGGAAAAATATTAATTTACTAAAAGTCAAATAGGAAATTTATAGGTGGACAAGGAGTATATAATAAATAATTATATATATATATATATTTTTACGAATATTAAGTTTGAAAAATAAAAAATATTCTACAAAATTTTAAATAGGCTCTTGGTCAAGTAAGAACTTTAAACTTTAAGTAGATGAGATGTAAACCTTATAAATATATTTTTTCAGATCCGTAAACTAGACTCACACTTTAATTTTATTAAAACATGCTTACTCGGGCCTATTTCACCCCTAGTTGTTAATCAATTTAATTTCAAAATATTTTAAATATAAATTAACTTTTATATAAAATCAAAAGCAATAAATAAATAAATAAAACTACAAAATCATAAATAAACATATTTTCGAACTCTCAACTCAACCCTAGTTGCAATGGGGTAGATATGATAAAATAATAATTCAATTATTTGTGACAAAAAGTACATTAATATAGAATCGATTCTGAAAAGGTTAGTCGTAATAGGAAACTTTAATGATAGGACTGGACAAATAATTTAATAGAGGGTATTTTGGATTAAAATTCCCTTATATAAAAAAAATTTAAATTCAATTTTTTTTTTTTTTTTTCATTAAAACAAAGCACTGTATTCCCTATTTTTCAATTTTATTTACACTTCACTCTCTACTATCAATTTTACCATTGAAATAACAAAATAATGCAACAAATATTTTATGTATTTCTGTTAATTTTATATAAACCTTCAATATCTATTTACGTACTCCAAAGCTATCCCGATGTATAAATAATATTTCTAAATAATGTACTTGATGTTTTTATTTATATATTGGGATCAGTTACGGAAAATATAAACAAAAAATAAAACAAAACTTAGACAAAATTCACGATCTTACATTGTGAATTAATTAATTTCTTTTAAAATTTTTCTCTTTACACTCAGTCCGTTGCTGCCGAAACACTCTGCAGAAATAATCTCCATCGAACCTCTCGCAAAAACCATTATCGCTGCTGGAAGTATCACTCATCGCTAAAATCTCAAATTCTGTTTGAAATGTCGAAAAGGTCTCCCAAAAATGAAGTTCGAGAAAGTAAGTTAAAATTTATATTTTTAGAATAATCAATATTTTAATTTTGGATTTTTTAGTTTGTGGTGTGCTTTAGTCTATTCTTTTTGGACCTCGGTTGGGTTTGTACAAGTCTTTGTGCTCAGACGTTTTAATTTTGCATTGTATCTCATCATCGGGCCTAATATAAATTATTTTGATATTTTTAAAATTGTAAATGATCTTATTCAGTATAAAAGTACCGCCATTTGCATATTTATAGATTTACATTTGTAGTAAAATGATTGAGGTGTGAGATGGACGAAGTTCTTTATTTTCTTCAAATACTGTAGGCATAATTTTTTTGTTGGAATATATGAGTATTGCGAGAATAAACGCAAAATCGAGTCGAGGATGGATCCTCTTTCCGAAAATTAGATACACCTCGGTAGTGCCTCCGGTGGATGACGTTCTAACCCAAAGATAAAACGGTTTTCGTCTCCAATAAGAGTGACACCTCTAATCTTTGAAGCTCCGACGAACAAAAACGAGAGAGGAACTGAGCTGGGGAGGCTGCCGGAAAGCTAGAAGATAGGAGAGAAGGACGAGAGGATTGTTTTTTGTTGGTGATTAGAACGAAGGGGGAGGCCCTTTATATAGGCGTCTCCACTCCGCCAAAATGAAAGGGGATCAATTACGATCATAATTACGATCTTAATTATCGATGTAATTAATTATAAATTCAAACATTCCGTTTGAATTTATAATTAATTACATCGATAATTAAGGTCCGTTTGAAGCGGTCGTAATTGATTCTAATTACAAACCTTCCGTTTGTGACGATCATAATTTATTCTAATTTCAAACCTTCCGTTTGAAACGATTGTAATTTATTTTAATTTCAAACCTTCCGTTTGAGATTATAATAAATTTATCAAACGGATAATATTTTATCCAAATAATATTGCAACTTAGGCCATATACCCGGGTTTAGTTTGGGGTTCCCACAATTTGGTTTGTCTCGAAACAGACAAAAAGCCAAAATATTAACCAAACCCCATACACAAATTTATTTATTTCTTCCAAATTAATATAATTAATTTGGTACACCGGTTCGTCGCATTTTCATTCACAAAATAATCGATTGCAAAATAACCGATTATCCAAAAATCCCCCACATGAGTGGAAATGTCCATAAAGGACAGAAACCCAGCTCAATCCCTGTGATACATTGACACATCAGGACAGGTAGTTTTTGGCTTTAAACATTCCATAGTCAACATTACAGAGTGTACTGGTGGCCCAGTTGACGTGATGCATTGAACTGTTTCACCTCTGCGTGCACTTAGTCAATAATATTGACGTGTCGCTATCTTAGTCTCAACTTTGTTCTCACGTTTTGATCCATTTCGGCCATGGACCTCGTCTTTGGATTCATAAGTGTTTCATTCGAAATGGCCCACACTCCACACTTATTTTTGTAATCCTATATCAAAGTATCTAACTCACACCTTTAGGATCATTAAGAGTCATTGACTTAACCTCACCATTTTTGCACATTATAACACTTATTTCTTTTTAGGGAATTGTATTGAGTGTTCGTGCCGGACTCTTACAGTTTAGTTTTCCCATTGAACCAAGGCTTAGGATTTCCAAGTGATTTGGTTGGGTTACCACTGTAATTGTCTTTATTTTGTGGATTTCAAACACATTCCCTTTAGCAGTTTGTACATTTGATCTCTCTGCAACCCTTTGGTTAGCGGATCCGCTAGGTTTTCTATTGATTTTACATATTCAATAGTCAAAACCTCACTGGTGATCAAATGTCTTACAATGTTATGTCTGCGTCGAATATGTCAGGACTTACCGTTGTAAATTCCATTCTTAGCCTTTGCTATTGCAGCTTGGCTATCGCAGTGAATCATTACTGGAGGTACTGGTTTAGTCCAGTATGGAATATCATCCATAAAGTTCCTCAGCCATTCGGCTTCTTCACCAACTTTGTCCAAGGCGATGAACTCCGATTCCATTGTGGACCGTGCAATGCGTGTCTGTTTTGTGGATTTCCACGAGACAGCTCCTCCTCCGATCGTAAATACATATCCACTTGTAGACAATGAGTCTTTTGCATCGGATATCCAATTGGCATCGCAATACCCTTCGAGTACCGGTGGATATTTCGCGTAGTGTATACCAAAATTCAGAGTAAATTTAAGATAATTTAATACTCTTACTAGTGCTTTCCAGTGTTCATGAATGGGGTTGCTAGTGTATCCACTCAGCTTGTTTATAGAGCAAGCCAGATCATACCTTGTACAATTTGTTAAGTACATTAGGCTTCAAATAATTTTAGCATAGTCTTCTTGAGCTACGGGGTCTCCCCTATTCTTGCTCAAGTGTACACTGAGGTCCAATGGGGTTTTCACTGGAGTGTTTTCGTAGGCATTGAATTTTCTTAGTATCTTTTCCACATAGTGAGACTGAGTTAGAACAATACCTTCGTCTTGCCTTAGAATCTTCATTCCAAGGATGACGTCGGCAATCCCTAAATCTTTCATGTCGAAGTTACGACTCAACATGCATTTGACCTCATTGATCAGACTGACCTCTTTGACCATGATTAGTAGGTCATCTACATATAGACATATTATGATAAAACTGGAAGGTATTTCTTTGATGTAGACACACTTGTCCAATTAGTTTATTTTGAAACCATTTGATAGCATAACGTTATCAAATCTCAAATGCCATTGTAAAGGTGCTTGTTTTAGCCCGTACAAAGATTTTATCAGTCTGCACACCTTTTTCTCTTGGCCAGGAACGACATATCCTTCCGGCTGTTCCATATATACTTTTTCTTCTAATTCACCATTTAAAAAATTAGTCTTCACATCCATTTGGTGAATCTCAAGATTGTTCAAAAACGCAATCGAGAGAAGTATTCGAATGGATATTATCCTGGTTATCGGTGAATATGTGTCGAAGAAGTCAAACCCTTCGATTTGTCTGTAGCCTTTTACTACGAGACGGGTTTTGTATTTTTCAATAGATCCATCAGCCTTGAGTTTCTTTTTCAAAACTCATTTACACCCTAGTGGTTTGCAACCTTCGGGTAGGTCAGATAACACCGAAGTGTTATTATGCATTATAGAGTCTATTTCACTATCTATTGCTTCCTTCCAAAAAGAAGCATCAAGACATGATAGTGCTT